AATGAGAAGGACACAAAAAGATGATCACAAAAATCCTACCCTTATCCCAGCCTGTGTGGCTCATCAGTTAAGTGTTGACCTATGAGCTAGGTCATGGTTCCATCTGGGCCAGGACAACTGCCTTATTAGGGGGTGTACAGGAGGCAGCCAATCAATGACTCTCATCATTGATGTTTCTAGCTTTCTCTCTCCCTTCTTCTCTCTGAAAGAGATATATTTATTTAATTTATTTTTTAATCCTATCTTATATTTGTAATATGGTACTAATTTGCAGGAAAATGACCTGAAGTCTAATTAGACAAATCAAATAATTATAATTACAGATTTTTCAAGAATTTATTGAATATATGCTTACATATAGTACTTCTCCCTTCTAGAACCTAGTTTTCCCCATATTTTTCCATTGAATTTTTTAAAAATTAAATCAAACTTATTCTGAATTGTAAGAGAACTAAGAATTGGATTTGAGGATATTTAAGAGTATCCTTTCATGAGTTAAAAGTACTGACTATGTTTTTCTCAGAATTCAAAGTCCTCTAACTACTCATTTCTCACTTTATGAATGACTACAGCATATAAGGTTAGAGAGGTCTAGGATAAGCACCATTTAATTTGATTTTCCTTTCTTTGGTGTTCTACAACACTATGTGTTAAAGCTGATAAAGAAGAGGAAAAAAACAAAAAACCTCTATTAAAATACCTTTGAACATAAGACATTTATTTCCATTTTATTCATCATCCTGTAAGACACCAAACTAGAAAGATCCTTATAAGATCAGTTTAAAGCTATCCAGGCACAGTGTTCAGTCAACCCAAATGGATGCAAAAGCATGCACACCGAGTGTGCTTCGTAGAGGGAGGTGGATGCAAAAGCATGCACACCGAGTGTGCTTCGTAGAGCAAGCACTCCCTGTGCTTCGTAGAGGGAGGTATTTCAGGTGGAAATCTCCACTGACCGCACCCATCTACCAACCTAAAGAGCTGCGGGGCCTGTAGTCCCCATAGCCTACGGCCATCCTAAGTGACCATCCTCACATCCCATCTCCAGTTTCAGGGCTGTGTTCCCATCAGATAGTAGCACCTTTTATAATCCGGCTAAAATCCACAAAACAGGGTAGCCACACCCATAAAAACACCACTCTTGACACAAGGGTTTGTAAAAGAAAATGAAAAAGAAACGCCACTCTACTAACACACATAGAAGTCTCAATTAATCCTCTTAAATGCCGGGCCCTTTTAGTGTAAAACTGGTGCCATCATCCCTTCAAGGCCGCCTTCAGTCTCCACCTTGTAAAACAGAGGGCAAGTGAGAGAAAGCATACCGCCGCCTTAGGCTGGGAGAGGAATGGCGAAATGCACTTAGCTCAATGGTCTGTTTTAATGCACGCAAGGCAAAGACATCCTTCAATCTGCTAATCAGATAGATCCTTCTAACTGAGCGCAAGTTTATGCTTTGGTGATTCAGCTCTTGTAATCAAATGGGACCACAACGTGAAGGACTGACCCGAGTCCCCATCTTCCCACCCACCAAGGACACGGGCCTCTCATTGTGGTCACTGACCACTGTTCCATTCCTACTTCCGGAAAACACAGAAAGGCCAATGTAGAGGATGGTGACAGTCCAGACTTAGCCTGGAGCTTGGCTTCAGAATCAAATTTGTCATTTATATGCCATATACTCCACTCTCTATTGCCACCGGATTTAAAACACTCCTTGAAGACAAATTTTTAAAAACGGATGATTGAGGATTAATACGAGGTTTTATTTACCCCTTGTGTTTGGCAGTCTAATATTCCTTCCCCTGTAGCCGCCAAAATAGCCAAGTCTCAAAATTAAACCTGGAAAATAACGGATCTAGCCATTCTCTCCCAGAATTTACATATGGAGACTGTAAAAAAATTGACCAAGAAGATAAGATTCCTTCCATTTATTGAAAAATACCACAGATAAAACCAAAACTTCTGCCTCAGTGCATCTGAATGTTAAGCTTGAGCAATCAAGCTTGATCTGATAGGAGTAACAACTCAATGGGTGTGACATCTTCTGATGTGTGAGCACTTACTCAGTGAGCAACTGGTAACTGAAATTAGCAGAAGAAAAGGAAAGTAAACTGGATTGCTAAACAGGCAACAAGTACCTGATATGAATATCCTTTAGATGGGCGGGAGAGGGATGGAAGAGGGATCTGCTAACAGCCTTTATTTAATCATCCACATTCTACTGGTGGAAAGGGAATGACGTATTAGTCTAAACCTGCCCCAGTGCCCACAGGCCCAAACAAGAACAATTCATAACTGGTCAATGCACATAAGTGATCTCATTTGAGCCACCTGCCTATGTGTGGCTAATATATTGGTTTATTTGATATCAAAGGCAATTCGAAATAACCTAGCATGCCACTCTCTCAAGAGAAATAAAAACCAAAGTCCCCAAATCTGAATGTTTGCCCAAATATTCATCATTTCTATTAATAACCAAACAGACTGACTTGACGTAATCACTGTCTGCTACCTGCGATGGATCATGATGAGAAGGTCACAGGTTCAATGGTAAGAAAATGAGATGAGCAGGGTGCTGCCCAACTCGATTGCCTCTAATCAAAGCCAGGGAGCCAGTAGCATCCCTTCCTGAGAGCCCATTACGTGCCAGACAGCAGGCAACACCTGAGGGACACCCGTTATAAACAGCAGACATGGTTCCTGCCCTTGTGGGACATTCAGAAATGCTAAAAAAACAAAACAAAACAAAACAAAACAAACCACAAACAAAACACCAAAAAACTCAAACACAAACAAAACACCAAAAAACTCAAACGTTAGTCAAGTCACTAAACCCACCAATGCGGAAACTGCTAGGGAGAAGGTCCATGGCATGGTGAGAGCCTAGAATGGCAGACAGAATTACTCCGAGGTCAGGAACCGGCGCTTACTAGGCTGAGGAGGGGAGGCGAGAGGCACGTGCTGAGTCACTGCCCATCAGATTCTCTAGAAAAGACTTAGGTCTTCAAAACCTGAGAAATACATTTTGCTCATTGAGATGAAAAGCTGCCCGTTTTCCAAGGATACATGTAAGTGCACTGATTGCCTCCAAATTGATAACTGGGCAGCAAGCCAAAAAGGCCAGTGATATTCTGGATGTCATTTAAGCCATTTTTTTTTTAAGGACAGGGTTTGGCTGTTTCAAGATGGTGGTGACCAGGAGAGAGGGAGAAGACTAAGATGCTGGAGACAAAGACATGAAGAGAAGGGAATCAGAAAATGAGAGGAATATTTTTACACGAACAAATTAGAATTTATTGGGAGGGGAGTAAGTACCATATTTCAGTGTGAAGTGCTAATAGGAGAACCCGAGGAGTCGTAAAAGCCACAGAAAAAATGAACCGACCAAAAGCTTTAGCAATTACACACCAACATGACGTTCACTACTGGACTCTGAATACGGGTTGTGCAACCACTGGACCGTAGTTGGCATTAAAAAGAGATGTACAGTAAGGATGAAGATGTGACTCAGACCTCAAAGGGGCGGTCCAGTCGCTAGGCCAAGGCTTAGGCACCTTACAAAAATCTAGCTAAGCCAGCCTGTTAGTACTGGTTAGTATCTCCAACTATAGGGGCTATGGGCTTTTACAAGGATTTGTAAGTTAAAGACAGCAGGTAATCTAGTTAAGAGCAGTTTCAGCCCAACTAGACTGGGGCATCTAAAGAGGTCAAGACAACGAGGCCATAGTTCTGTGAAATCTACCTAGATTTCAGCTCCTTTTCCCTATAAAAACACTTATCCAACCTGTTCACCTACATATGCATGAAACATGTACTAAACATCAACACCCCTGCCCAGATGACTCTCAAAGCTCCTCATGTAATCTGTATCCTCAGATTCCACACGGGATTTGTTTGTTTGTTTACATTAAGTGGGTTGACCACCTCTTCCTATGAGGGCATCCCAGAGGCCAAGCTCTGGGAAACACATGCTGGGAAATATTACCTAAAATCTAAAATCCAATGACGGGACCGAGTACAAACTTGGCTGCTGGAATCGGCCAAGAATGTGTATTTCAGCCCTGAAGCCTGAGACCATACAATGCAAACGTCCTAGCAGGTTCACTGCCTCCTTGGACAAGAGCACAGACCGCATCCTTGGAAAACTTCTAGCGACTCCTCCTCCGGGGTGTGTGTATCCAGCCGCGTCCACGGGCAATGCATGCCCTGAGCGGGAAGGAAACCTGTCATTCCTTTTGGAAGCGCAGCGCCCGCCCAGCCCAGGTTTTCTCCGGCTCCGGGCGGGCTGCACCCCGGGCTTTCTCCGCAGCGGGAAGGCGGTGCCCGCCCAGCCGCCGCCGCAGCGGGAGGACCGGGTACCAGCCCCGGTGGCCGCGGGCTCAGCTGGAAACCAGGATGGCAGGCGGTGTGGCGCCCATGGTAGCCGGCTCCCCGGACCCAGGGGTAGCCATTTGGTGGGACCCAGGGGTGGCCAGTTGGTGGGACCCAGGGGTGGCCAGTTGGTGGGACCCAAGGGTGGCCGGTTCCCCGCACCCAGGGATGGCCGGTCCCCCGGACCCAGGGCAGCACGGCCCCGGCCCAGCAGCTGGCTCTCCGCCTCTGGGAGGGGCAGGGCCCCGGGCTCAGTGCTCCGGGCCCCGGGGTCAGTCCCCCCGGCCTCCCCCGAGCCCAGCGCCGGGCAGGGTGGCCGCCCGGCAGAGCGCGGAGGGAGGCCGGGGTGGTCTTGTGACGGCGGATGGCGCAGTCGCCCGCCCGCAGCCCCGCCACAAAGGTGCGAGCCCGGCCGCGCTCCCTGCAGCTCGGGGCCCGCCCCGGCGCCCCCTCCCGCCCCCCACACCAACCACCGCCCGCAAAGAGGGGTTCGTGCGCCCGAGTTTGCAGATGGGCTGGCCGGGCCGGCAAGTTCTCGCAGGCAGAAACCAGAAGAAACCAGAGGGTTCCCCCACCCCACCACCCCCCCCCCATCCGCCTCCCGCGGCAGGTGGCCCGGCGCCCCGTACCTTGGCGGCGGGGTCCGCGGCCGCGATGCCGGGGTCCCCGGGGGCTCCCGCCGCCTCCGCCTCCGCCGCCTCCGCCAGCACCGGGCCGCCGGGCTGGGGCTGGGGCTCGGCCGGCGCCCCGCCGCCCGCCTCCGGCTGCTCCGGGCTCCGCTGCTCCGTGGAGCTGCCGGCGCCCATGGCTCCTCGGGGCTCTCCGCGCCTCTGCAAACGCCGCGGGTCCCCAAGCGCCTGCCTCCCGCTCCTCCTCCTCCTCCTCCTCCTCCGAGCGCGCCGGGCCGAATGGAGGGGACGCGCTCGCAGCAAACTCCTTAAAAGAAAAAAAAGAGAGAGAGAGAGAGGGAGCCACCTCTTTGCCTCCTCCTCCTCCCCTTGTTTTCTCCCTCCCCGGCTTCATCACATGAGCGCCGCCCAGACACGCCTTGCAGCAGCATCCTCCCCTGCAACCACCCCCCCCCCCCCCCCCCCGGCTGCAGCCCGCGGCCCCAGGGCGCCGCCCCGTCCCGAAAGGAGGACCTGCGCTGGGGGTGCCCCGGGATCGCCGATGGCGAGGGGAGACGGAGACGGAGGGGAGGGCGGGGGGCACCCCCCGGGGAGATGGGATGGGATGAGAGGAGAGGTACCCAGGCGGGAGCTCCTGCAGGCGCCGGCTCTCAGCTCGCCCAGAAGCGCCCCCAGAGCCCCCTGCGCTCTCCCTCAGGTCCGGGTGGACTCCGGAGGCTTCAGCCCCAGCCCCCGCCCCAGCGGCACAGAGAGGCCAGCGCTCCGGCCGCCCTCGGGCCGGACCATATTAGGGCACCTCACGTGGGCGGCGCGGGGCTGGGGAGGTGCCCGCAATCAGGCCACCGGTGAGGTGGGCCCGCGGCCCCCGGACTCCTGCGATCCCGAGCGGTGATGTCAGGCCGTGTCATCGGCCACGCCGGCCACCCTCCTTCCTTCCCCGGGGGACCGGGAAGTGAGCCGATTACTGGAAAGGAGACCTGATGCCGGAGGTCCAGGCTGGGTCTGCCCCGCGCCATGCTGGTCAGGATGGGAGAGATCTTCATTTGCAGCCGTCCTGCTCCCCAGATAAAGGCTCCGAACAGCAGCAGCCTAAGGGGCTTGCTTTCCTCTCCCTCTCTCCTTCTGAAGGGCGTTTGTTACATGACTATAGCAGGCAGGCAATAAATATTTGAACTAATTTAAAATCTTAGCTGGGTTATTTGACACGTAAGCATGAAGGTGGTGGGGCTGCAAGAGGCATGGTCCCAGGTTTAACTAGCAAATTAAATGCCTTACTTTTCATAAACAGTTGGAATATTGGCATAGGATGCCAGATAAATATTCTAGATGCAGATTTAATACACTTTAACAGAGGTGATGTAAGCAGCAGTTCAGTCCTGAGATAGTTTGTGCCTAGTGTATGGTGTGTTAGTTATCGGAATAAAACTTTTCTGAATGTGGGAGTACACAAGGACCACGTTCTCTGGAATTTCACCCTTGAAGAAGCAGTATATCTGCCAAATGGTTGGTTTTCAGCATTTTTCAGCATTTCACCCATTTCAACTTAAATTTTGGCTTGGTAGGAAGCATTACTTATTCTGTACAGGCACGATGCAAAGCACTTTGTGTATATTTAATCCTTACAACAGCCACCCTCTGACATCGGTCCTGTTATTCACTTTGTCAGTCAGTGGGAGTAAGCAGGCTCAGAGAAATTAAAGTCGCCACTCAAGGCTTCACCATGGGCAGATGGAGTTGTAAGGAGCTATCCCACACAGAACCACATTTTCCTCTCCTGAAGGAAGCTCCCGTGGGTTCTCTCTTCTCAGGATTGTCAGTGAAAAGTCGCATTTAGACCTCAGCTAGGATGTTCTGAGCTGGAAACACTGTTAAAGCCCATTTGATAATGATTAAGCCAGCGCATCTGAAAATGTATCTGTAAATAGTACAAATACTATCAAAATTTCCCATTCCGTGAGATTACATTTATTCTGTTCTTGGGAAATTCTTAACAAAGCCTTTCTCATCTCCCAGCCCTTATAGACTGCAAGGTCGAAGATTTCAAGGCAACCATATACAACCCGCATGCTGAGGAAGATTACCAACTACTGGGTTCGTGTTTCTTTTTCAGGCTGTGAAGATGCTTGTGTTCTTTTTGTTGTTGTTCATTCTCACCTGAGGATATTTTCCTATTGATTTTGAGGGAGGGAGGGAGGGAGGGAGGGAGGGAGGGAGGGAGGGAGAGAGAGAGAGAGAGAGAGAGAGAGAGAGAGAGAGAGAGAGAGAATGAGAGAGAGACACATCGGTTGATTGCCTCCTGCATGAGCTCCCAACCAGGGCCCAGGCTGAGGAGGAGCCTGCAACCAAGGTGCCCTTGAATGGAAGGAGCCCAGGACCCCTTGGTCCGCAGGCCGACACTCTATCCACTGGGCCAACCCAGCTAGGGCTACTCTTATTTTTTAAAGGAAAATCTTATGTTTAAAAATGTGCACATCCTAGTTCTTTCTTTTCCGCCTGAAACAGCTCCATGATAAGAAGGTGTTAAGAATAACAGGTTCCTTTGTGGATTCACACAAGCACACACATAACTCCCTTTGGTTTCTGACCAAAGAATCTCTTCTGTCAGACTTACAGATCGGTGTTACGCTTGACTGAATTATTTTTGTTAAGAAGAGTGGTCATGTTACTTTCTATGCCCAGCAATGAGATGTCCCAACCTTTTTGGATATTCTGTTAGTGCTTCAGAACATTACAAAGTTCGTTCGTTCATTCATTCATTCATTCACTCACTCATTCATTCTTTCAACACATACCTACTGAGGGCCTACTATGTGCCTCAGTAGGAAAGGCACCTGCTCAAGGCTCTAAATCATATCCCCACCGCTTTCTTTTCGAAGGTGTTGGAGAGTCCTTGGGAGAGAATTGCTTGCCTTCGTGTCAGTGATGGCGAGGGAGGCAGCTGTTCTCTGTTTTCCACTTCTCGGTGCGAAGCTGGCAGTTGCCCTCAGTTCCCAGCAGCCCTTTCCTCCAAACAGCAGGCCGCAGGTGTCCCTGCTCAGTGTCTCCCGGGGGGCAGTCGGGGGTAGAGTTGTTTCCCTGAGAGAATTAATGTTCTCATAAAAACAGCTTGTGATTTCTCAACAACAAATACGTGTTTCCCGCAGAGCAGGCTGAACGTGTTTTTAGTAACTTGTCCAGAACAGGTCACGTGAGATTTGCCCATAACATTTAGAGTCGTAGCCGGACACCGTGTACATGCACCAAGACATTTAAAAACGTGTCTTAAATGAGTTCACAAACATGGAACATTTCACAACAATACTGATACCACACCTTGAAGGAGCAATGATAATAAATGATTATTATACCAGAATCTAAAAGCAATGCTTGACTCTACACCACAGATTCCTGCTCCAGCAACATTTCACTGTCAACTCTTCACCCTTGAAACTACCACTTACCACTCCTTTGTTTTAGCTAAATAAAAAGCCTACTTTTTTGGAACCAATTACTTACCTCAAGATATCTAAGAACCCAATTCCTGATTTCCTCTCCTGCATTGACTAATTATAAGGAAAAATAACTAGAAGAATTAACAATTTTATTCGATTCATGTGTAACTAATATTCCAACATTCATATAGAAACTATAAAAAAAAGTTACTATAGAAATTAAGGTCAAAAGCCAACCATCGATAGATATCCTCTATATATACAGTGTATAAGCCCAAATATAGTATATATGCAAATGTTATTCTTCTACCTTTTAAGGAATGTGTTGCTTTGGGATTAACTATAAAGCCAGCCATTTGTCTATTTCATTTATCAAGATTTAGAAGGAAACCTGACTTGGGGTGGTGAACACCCAAACAATATATAGATTATGTATTATAGAGCTATGTCAAACTCATGGTCCATGGGCTGCTTGCGGCCCACAACGAATATTTTTGCGGTCCAGCAAATATAACAGTATATAAGAAACATTTTTATTAAAATTTTGTAACTTAATTTTTACAATATCCTGTTATGTATAATTATTAATAATGACCTACAATGTTCGCTAATGAATGATTACTATAATCCTGTTGCATTCATTTCCCTTACATGCTTTATGAGCAGGCACATTTCTCTCCACTAATACCAGCAGGGAATATTTTAGCAGCCGATTGCCACATCATTAGTCTTGTACTGACTCGTTTGGTGTGCACATCAAGAAATATTTCGTTTTCAGAAAACAAGAAAAATAGGTTTATTTGCATTACCCTTTCTAATTTGTGCAATTATTCAGTGTCTGGTAAGTTACTATTCAAGAAAAAATGAATTTGTATTAAAATGTCCTATTATTTTGTTAACGATCACTCATTTATTTCAGCCCTTTGTATTCAGCATGTCTCTATGGAAATAAGCCTGCATTTCTAGGAAAATTGAAGCTTTTATATTTTTGCGGCCCACATAAACATAAACCTTATTTATTTGGCCCATGTTAGCCTTTGAGTTTGATATACTCTGTATACACTAATCCTAAAATCAAATAAAAAATTGGCTGCTGATTCAAATCTAAGATTATGAGCCCAGGGAAATGAATCCTTTTATTTGTATTTATATACATTTTCATTATATTTTTCTAGCCACTGTGGAAGCCTTTACAGAAATAATTATTCACAGAAAACTAATTTAACATGCCTTCTGCCACTTCGTTCAAGATTATCTAAATATAAACAAATGAATGAATGAATGAATGTAATTGAAAGGCATTCGCCAATAAGCCAATATTGTTCTGGCTCCTCCTTTTTCTAGAGTTAGGCTGCTCTACGCCCACTTATGAGAACCAAGATCTGGCAAATGAGCCTTGGCCGGCGTGGCTCAGTTGGTTGGAGCTCCTTCCTGTACTCCAGAGGTGGGTGGTAGGTAGGTTTGATATCTGGTCAGGGTACATACCCAGGTTTCGGGTTTGATCAGTTGGGGCATGTGCTAGAAACAATTGATCAATGTTTCTCTCTCACATCTATGTTTCTCTCTCTTCCTTCCTCTCTCTAAAATAAAATTTAAATATTTTTGATATATTAAATATTAAAAAAATGACATGGCAAATGATTTGCCCAGTCTGGAGTGAGAATTTCCCAGGACACACTTTTGGAGGGTACCTGAAGGTGCCTGGAAGGTTTCTACACTCCAAGGCAGAGCACGTTATGGTAACCC